CTGCTCCGCTGGGCTTTGTCTGGTCCTTCCAAGCCCTGCCTGCTCTGCCGGGTCCTTCCCTGCCCTGCCAGACCTTGCCTGTCCTTGCCTGGCCCTGCTTGTTTGGCTGGGCTCTGTCTGGTTCATCCCAGCCCTGCCTGCCCTGCCTGCCCTGGCTGCCCTGCCTGCCCTGCCCTGCCTGCCCTGCCTGCCCTGCCTGGTGGGATGGCGGCTGCTGGGACGAGTGACACTCACCACATTCTCCGGGCCGGTCCGCTCGGGCGTGATCTGGATCCACTCGATGCCCACGCCCTGGGGACCGTTGTCTTCGGGCTCAAGGACGTAGGGGCAGCCCAGCTTCACCGAGTCTCCCTTGGCCAGGTACAGCACCTCCCTGCCCTTGCTGTTGATCCTGACGGCCAGGAGGAGAGCTGGGGAGAGAACGGCACCTGTCACACCGGCTGCGGAGCACGGGGGCACCCCAAACTTGTGCCCCAACCCCACTCCTGGCAGCACCCTGACCCACAGGGAGCAGGGATGGGGCAGGAGCTCATCTGCCAGGGTCAGGCACCTGCAGGGACTGGGCCTCCCAGTGGGGTTGGGTACCCATCAGGGTGGCACCCTCTGGGTGCTGTGATGCTGCATCAGGGACAAAGGGACATGGTGGGCTTAATGCCACCCGCCCAGCTCCGGCCAACATGGGTGGATGTCAGGGCAGGACCATCCCTGGCTGCAGGTGCTCTGATGACCATGGGGTGCATCCGGCACCCTGGGGTGCCCTGCAGCTGGGCAGGGACCCCTCAGTCCTTGTCGGCATCGCAGCAGGAGTGGGTCCAAGTGCAGGGATCCATCAGCGCCTACCTGGCATGAGACCCAGGAGCAGGAGCAGGCTGGCGCCGTGCCCTGCCATGACGCTGCAGCCGTGCCGGGCAGTGAGGAGGAGCGGGAGCGGAGGAGGCTCCGAGGCGACAAGGCAGCCGGCCGTGCGGGGCTGCTTTTACATGCTGGGCCAGGGCGCTCCTCCCTGTGGGGCGGATGCCTTTGGGATGACTGAGTGGCTCCAAGCTGTGTGTGAGCGATGCCGCCCTTCTCCACTCCCTACCTGGTAATTAAGCATCGCCATGCTACGGGCTCCCATCCAGCCGGACCCGGGCCGAGGGCCACTGCAGGCAGCACGGGCGAGGGGCACCAGCATGCTCTAGGGCATCTGGAGCATCGGAGCAGGGATCGGGTGGCCATGGACCCCAGGGTGCCTGATGGCTGGTTACCCTGGAGTGGGCACTGGCAAGACGAGTGTGGTAGGTGGCAGAAGGCTGCCCGGGACCCCCTAGGAGCAGTCCGAGCGTGGCTGAGCACCACGGCCGCATGAAAGTGCCAGCTTGACCCCATGCAGGTCCCAAAAGGATTTTGGTCTTGGGGCAGGACTCAAGGCAATTGGAAGAGCTTAAAGGTGTGGTTTGACCATGGGCTTAAGCTCCTGCAGATCCCTCCTCCAGTCCTGCCCCCCTCAGCAAGCAGGCACAGGGATACCGTGGCCATGCGGGGACCATGGCACTCACCAAGCCCACTCTGGTGCTGGTGGCACTGCTGAAATACAGAAGCCTGGCTGGTGCTCCAGGCCATGGCTCACTGCACCAGGACATGGTGGCGTAGCAGCAGCAGGGGCAGCACATACCAGGCCAAGCGCAGCACAGCGGAGGGGACAAGCAGTGTGGCTGGAGGAGGCTGGGACAGCCATAGGGGAGGAAGAGAGGGGCTGGAACCTCCTGGGATCTGAGGGCAGGAGTTGGGACAGGGATGCTCTGTAGTGAGATGGAGAAGTTGGGACAGAGATGCTTGGCAGTGAATGCAGGAGTTGGGAGAGGGATGCTCGGCCGTGGATGGAGAGGTTGGGGCAGGGATGCTCAGCAGTGGATGGAGGGGTTGGGGCAGGGATGCTCGGCGGCGGATGAAGGGGTTGGGGCAGGGGTGCTCGGCGGCGGATGGAGGGGTTGGGGCAGGGATGCTCGGCGGCGGATGAAGGGGTTGGGGCAGGGGTGCTCGGCGGCGGATGGAGGGGTTGGGGCAGGGATGCTCGGCGGCGGATGAAGGGGTTGGGGCAGGGGTGCTCGGCGGCGGATTGGGGAAGCCCCAGCCAGGGGCAGTCTCCATGCCTGTGTCCCTTGGAGGGGCTGGGCTGGCTGAGCCACCACCCTGGGCTGCTCTGGTGCTGTGGGCCAGGCCCCATGTCCAGCTCAGCCATGCAATGCCCTGCGGCACAGTTCAGCCATGCTGGTGCTTTCCAGACCATGACTGTACCATCCAGCTGGGCAGCACCGCCCGGCTGGTCCCAAACACTCCCTGGGGGCAAGAGCTGCTCCATTTACTGGCCCCAAGCTGAGCTCACCGCTGCCAGTTAACCCTTACCGGCCCCGTGCTGGGAATTGGGGCTGAGCCCAGCACGTGCTTTGCCGCGTCTGTGATTTCG